AAGGCCCACAACCACTACCTTCAAATCCCCGAGTAATTAAATCATTCTTTCTTTGTTCTTGTTATGTAAATCAAAAATTGATTTTGCTTTGTTGTGTGAGCTCAAGTGGGAATGAATTGACAGTAACTAAGGAGAATTCCTTTACATATGTTCAAAGGAAAGAGTTTGAAAGACAAGCCATGATCTATAGGATTTATTAGCACAAAATGTTTGCGTTTGACTTTCAGTATGCAAAATATCGATACGTTTCAAACTTTTGCATTTTTCACCACTGTGACTGCCGATCTTTTTTTCTTCGATGATTTCTTCTTTTTACACTTTTGATACTCAATTAGATGTGGATTTTTTAAAAAAAATATTTCTTGGTATTGGTGTTTGAGAACAATGAATGGTTATCTAAAAAGGTACAAACGAATTGAAGACAAGAAATGAAGGTTCTCAAGAGGTGTAGTGCCCCATAACAAGTACTATGAGTGTGACCTACAAAAAAAGTCGTCCCCATTCAAGAAATCTTGTGGAAATCATGAACAACGCCACTGACAATAATGAGAAGAAAAACCCTCTTTTGTTTAATCCTAAAATCGATATAACTTTTTTCTATATCATTTAAAGAAATATGAGAAATCGTTTTTTAGTATTTCTAGATTCTTTAGTATTTTCCAATCTATTTTATGGTTTTGTTTCGTGTTGAGGGAGAGGGTGACGGTGACGGTGACGGTGACGGGTGGAAGGAGAAGAAGTCTTTTCTTTTCTTTTTGTTTTTGATTTTTAATTTAATTTATTTGAGATTTATTTATATTTCTTTTTAAAAAATTGGAATATGATTGCAATTTTTTTTTCCTTTTGTTTTATTTAAATATGATGATATATTTGTCATTTTATAATTTTTGATGAGAAATTGGATAAAAATTGATGAAAATGAAGTTTTTCATAATGATACGTTGAAATAAGTGTAAAAAAGCTAAAATTTGAAATTGGATGATGTTTTGCACATTAAGAGCGAAATGTAGGGACATTTTGTACTAATAAACCTTATTTATTGTTGCTCTTTCTATCCCAAAAAAATATATTTCCTCTTCTTTTTTATTTGTTCCGTATTATGGGTCACCTTCCTTGTTTTGATTTCTTAATTTTCTAATATGCTCATATTTAATGTGTTTTGTTATCAGTAAATACGAACTAATCTTAACCCCTATTTGAGTCACATTATTTTTTTCATTCTTATTTTTCTATTCGTTTTCAATCATACATTGTTTAGTAAAATAATATTTTCCATTACATCAATAAATTTTCCATTACATTGTTTAGCCTCTATTTGAAAACCATTTTTTTTCGAAAAAAATAATGTTTTGAATAGTAATTTTTAGGATAATATGGTTAAAAAATAGGGAAAAAATTTAGATATACGTACAAAATATTTTATTGTGTTAATGTGTGGTTGAAATTGAGTGTGTAGAAAAAAGTGTTTCAAAATAATGGTTGTCAAACATGAGCTTAATGTAATGATATATTAGAAAAATATAAATAAATTTTATATTTCATATAATAATTAATTTTTTTTAACAATAATGCTGAATGTACATCCATTTCCTCATATGAACTTTGAGATCCATTTTGTTTTAAAAAATTGTGAGCGAAAAAAGGTGTTTTTTTAAAAATATCCAATAATGTTTTGTCACTTAACACAATATAAATAATGATATAAAAGATGATATACATGTAAAATGATTATTTTTTTTAACACGCAGGAAATAGAAGTCTAACTTTTACCCAGTAATTTAGTCGAACAAACAAGCTTGGTCACGTTTACAAGGAAAGCATATAAAAATATGAAAATGTCAAAGATCCCAATTACAAAAAGGAAAAATTGCGCAACAATCCCTTATATTTTCAATTTTTATAGATTTTATCCTAACTTTCAATTTGTATTAACGAAAGTCCAAACCTTTCATAAATATGCAGCAAATATCCAAATCGATGAAAATCGTTCATTTGACCATTAGTTGACTTAAAAATGTGAAAATTGAATATTCCTGCCATTTCAAACAAGGGCATTTTGTTAAAAGTTTTGCTGTGTGTACAAAAAACTGTCGAACACAGACAATACAGGTGGGCCCCGCATTTTTTACAATATATAATTTCACGTGGGGCCCACATCCATGTGAGTCTTCTATTGAACTTCTGTGGTGATTTTTCTGTACAAATAGAAAAATCCTTTCGTCAATCACATATTATAAACAAAATTAAAAAAATCAAAAAAGAAAAGAAAAACCACTTTCACCCCACCCCATCCCACCTAACCCTACGCCCTCCCAACTCCAAAAGAGAAAGGTGTACTTCTAAAAAATGTCCAATCACATGTTCAAATTTTCACTTTGACTTTTTCTTTATTGGATATTTCCACATTAGCCTATTTGATGTCTAAAAACAAAAATACCATTAAATGTATAAAACAATTACAAAATGGTTTTGTTTAAAAAACAATATTACCATTTTAGTTAACAAATAAAAATCAAACACTTCCTACTTAAAATTTCAAAATCAGCTCAAACACAAATAAAAACTCTCATTTTTTCCAAAATGAAAATCTCAAAAATATCGATACCTGAAAAAAAAATTATTTTCTGTCAATTACTTCGAATCGATAAGTATATTTACGTATATTTAATTTCGTTTTCGTTAAATGTGTATATGTTTTTAATCGATAAATTAAGATTCGACATAAATTACAAGCAGATAATTTTTTTTTTTGCAGATGTACAATTTTTGTAAGCACGAATGAAAAAAAAACCATCTGTACTTTACTTTTCAATTTTGTCAGCTGTTACGATCTTAACAGTCGACTTTTACGAAAAAATAGCCCACTGTTAACGTGCCGATCGAAAGTTAACAGCCGGCATTGTCCCCGATTGTCAACAGCCGCATATGCCCGGTTGTTAGCCGTCTATTAAAAGCCATAATAGCCGGCTGTTTTCCGGCTGTTATTTATATTTTTTTATTTTTAACAAATTTCTGTTGCCACTGTAAGTCAAATTTTTGAATGAATGTTTACAAATTGTGTTTTTGTCATGCATATATGATGATTGTGCTCCCAATTTGTTACTTTGATGATTTTGAATTGGATGAAAATAATTGATGGGTATGGAAATGGATGAATGACAGACAAGGTGGTATGCCAACACATATAACAAAGAGTACATCGTACGAGGAACTATACCATGATATAAGAACAAACTGAACGTCGATTCATCTCGATACGATATGGTACTGAGATTTCAAATCAAAGAGCATTTGTCATTTTCTACTCTACCTATGAATGTTACATTTGATGTTGAAGTAAATTATCTGTTTGAGTTGAACAAAAAACAAATGACACCCATTTGCGTGACTTTAGTGAGAAATGACGATGCGGAAGATAGAAATGAACATTTTGATGTAGCAGATGATAATGCAAATAATTTTTGGGATATAGTAGAGATAACTCAAGGATGATGCTAATATTCTTGAGACAGTTGTTCCTCATCGTGATGTCGTCGTGACGCACATAATTCAGTCTGTAGTTTAGGACAATGAGAATGTAAATGAATTTACAAATGAAAATTTAAATGCTTTATCGCGTCAAAGACATGAGTGGGGTGGGAGCTCAGGGACTAGAATGAGCGGACCGTCATCTAATTCTTCACGTGTGGTTCTCGATGATGAAGATCTGCACGTTGAGCAATTGTTTAAAATGAAGAAAGATTTGTAGGAAACTGTGTACCTACTGGCATTGAAATTCAACATTCATTTCAAGGTAAATAAATCAAACAAGTCGTTGTTGACACTTGTTTGCATCGACGACAGTTGTCGTTGGCGATTGCGAGACTAAGATGGATACGAATGAGTCATTTGTGGTTCGCACATATACACGGGAACATACTTGTGCGAGATTCTTCAATATGTCATTTGTAGTTCACAAGTATACATGTATACATACTTGCGAATTGGAGATTCGTTAAAACCATCACAGACAAACTCGAAAATTTGACTTTTAACAGAAATTTATATATAAAAAAAAAGGCGAAACAATCGAAATAGTCAGCTGTCACACAAAACAGCCGACTGGTTGTTTAAATAGCCGTCTGGTTCTTTTTAACCAGATCAATTTCGTCCGAAAGACGAAGATGAATTTTTTTCTCGTTGATGTTTAAAAAAATTTTAGATATGTTTAAAAAATGTATCTACATTAACTGTCTATGTCGAAATAAATTTAACGATTAAAACGTATATCGATTTAACGAAAATAAAATTAGACATGCGTAAATATACTTACCGATTCGAAGTGATTGATATAAATTTTTTTTTGGGATTTAGCGTTCGATAAGTTTTTCAGATTTTAAGATTGAAGCAGATGAAAGATAAGATAGTTTTTATCTGTATTGAAATAAATAGATAACAAAAGTTAGTTGATTTTGAAATTTTAAGTAGAGAGTGTTTGATTTTTATTTGTTAACTAAAGTGTGGTATTATCTTTTAAACAAATAATATTTTGTAATTGTATGCTTAAGAGCCTTTTTGTCTTTTTTTTTCCCATCAAATAGACTATTGTGGAAATATGAAGAAGTTGAAAAGTCAAAATGTAAATTAGGCACTTTGACCGTGTCAATTTTAAAAGTACCCCGAAGAAGAAGATAGTTTTTTTTTTTTTACTTGAGTTTATATAAGATTGATGAAAATGCCCATTATTGAAATAGTCAAAATATTCAATTTTCATATTTTTCAAGCCAAACTAACCGCCATTTGGACCTCTGTTGCATATTTAAGAAATATCAGGGACCTTTATTTGTATAACTAGAAGGTTAGAGTAAAGGTTGAAAAAATTAAAAAGATGAGGACCGCTACTGCAATTATCCCTTACAAAAATCGGGTATTTATCGTCGAACAGTTGAACAAAAACCCCCAAAAGAAAAACAAACAGAACTTTCGAGTCTCGATCCCATCATCAAGCTAGAAATAGAGAGATGTCGTGCTTGGCATCATGCTGTGCGTCCCTAACGTGCGGTCTCTGCACGTCAGTGGCCTCTGGCATCACAAAACGCTCTGCAAGAATTGCCTACTGTGGCCTTTTTGGTATCTCTTTGATTTTATCTTGGGTTCTCCGAGAAGTCGCCACTCCTCTTCTTAAACATTTGTCATGTAAGACTGAAAATTGATTGTTCGTACAAATTCATACACATATCCAATTGGGTTTTGATTAGTTTTTTTGCTGTCTTGTGTTTATGTGTTATGGGATTTATGGAATTATGGGATCCGTTATGAGCTTCTTGAGAAGTTGTGAAATGAGTTCAGTTTATATTTTGGTCTCTTTGTCTCTGAAAATTGATTCTTTGTTCAAATTCACACGAATAGCCCATTGGGCTTTGATTAATTTTTTGCTGTCTTGTGTGTACATGTTCTGAGATTTATGGTGAAATTGGTTCTGCTATGAACTTCGTGAGAAGTTGTGAAGTGGGCTGGGTTTAATTTTTTGTTCACTTTCTTTAAATAGCTGCACTCGATTCCATTTTGTGCACATATTGTCGGATTTTGGGGGGATGATTTGATTCTTCTTAGCTCGATGAAGATTCCTTTGATCAGAAAGACGCATCATTAAAGACTTCTCCAAGCGTGGAATCCAATAGAATGGAATGTCTGCAGAAAGAAGTTATCAAGAGTTGGGAACTGGAACCCAACTGGATTAAGCCTTTAATATATGTATGTCTCACTTTGAGGCACATGTAAAGAACCTTGCTTTTTATTTTTTTTATTTTGTGTGCGTGCGCGCACGTTTCTTTAGAATTGGTTAATTTGGATGATAATCTGGTGGGGGGCTGACATTATTCTTTTTATGGTTTTATGATCTTGGGTATATAAGAAACGAATAAGGGATAGGCATTTGTGAGACTTCAAAGGAGAATAAGCTTGTGCCATTCTTACACAAACGAATGAGTAATGTTCTAGATTGATTTCGTCATTATTGTATTTCACTATGAATCTAGATTTAAATGTGGACCTTACGGTAAGTACTTAGTTATGGACGGCCACCTGCTCTCAGGATGAAAGCAATTACCTGTAATCTTATGCCAATTGACGAAAAGATCAGATGAATTTTGACGTTCTGAAGCAAACAAATGCTTTAAGTAGCCAATTTATTTCTTTTCATGTTCGTACTTGTCATTTGACTCGTTTCATAAAAGTAATATCTGGAGTGGGAATTGCAATTCTGTTGAGTGCCCGACTTTTGACTCTTGGGTTGTCTGATAATTGCATATTTCAACTGTTTAAGGTTACGAATATTTTGATCCTCTTCTGGTTGATTTTTTAGTTTAAGAGTATTTCTTTTGATTTCTAAGTTCAAGCGTTTTATGGAATAGTTAGTTTAAGAAAACCCTGGTAGTTCTCTAAATTTCTTTTTGACCATAAACGTATACATATTTATTCTCTACCAAACATGATACCTACATTCTTCTGTATAATTTGTCAACCAGCGTGAACGCGTGATTGTCCATTTAAGTTGAATTTCCAATGGTTTTTTTTTTTTACCAAAAATACTCTTAAAGAGTAGTTCATGTAATTTACAAAGATATGCATCGGTCACTTCTGATGAGGCCATGTCATGAATTTCTTTACAGGGATAAACACTTCAGAAAACCTCCCAAAGGAATACTTTCAAATACAAGCCGTTCTTCGTGTCAGCTTGGGGAATTTCTTGTTTTTTGGAATACTTGCCCTTATAATGATTGGAGTCAAGGATCAAAATGACAGACGTGATTCCTGGCATCACGGTGGATGGATTGCTAAGATGCTGATTTGGACTTTGCTCACCATCCTCATGTTTTTTCTACCTAATGTCGTCATAACAATTTATGGTCAGTTTCATATCCTGAATCGACTGTTATTTTAGCATCCTTTAATGGATGGAACACTTAAATGCTATATATGTGTTTCATATTTGTCTGTGGCCATGTTGATATGCATTTTGGTAGATTTATTAATGGAGCAGTGATATTATTTCCTTGTAGAATGAGTTAAAAACTTAATTTCCAGCATGTTAACCTTATTTATTTAATTCCCTTCTAGCTTGGGGGATGATTTAGTGTTATAGAATTTTTTTCTCCACTTTCATGCTTTAAGTCTTAATTAGTCAAACTCTTTTTGATTGATTAATACAAATTTGATTGATTCTATTATTCTCTTCAATCAAGCAGTACTAATGGCTCATAAGAAATGATCTTAAACTTCCAAAATTATAATAATCCTTCTTTTTGATCTCTACTAAATTTAGTTTGGCAATCTTACCTTTGGAGCACGTTCAATTGACAAAATCTCAACCGGGACTATTTATCTGGTTGACTTTTTGTGACCTAGCTCGTTTACCGATTGGGCTTGACTTGAAGCCCAATAAGCACCGTGTCCTGTTTTTTTTTTATTTTAATCTTGATTGAAGCTGTTAATTAATGACAATGCTGCTATTTGTTTTAAACTTTAAGTAGCTGCCAAAGTGCTAAAACTATATTTCAATAGATAAACGTGCACAATGTTGAATAGTTTAATCTTATAGATGATGTAGTTCAACACGGTAAAGACCTGAAATCAACTTTCACGACAATCTATTTATGAAAATTATACATGTGTTAGGCCTTTGGTGAGGGGGCCATGTTGAAGACTAAATATGAATAAATAAATGTGTCCCCTCTCCTACAACTTATGCTTCCCCTTTCACAATTTACGTTTCTAGATAAGATGGTTCAACTTAAAAGATATATTTACTTGATGACAAAAGTTACATAGACGGCTTATTGTGTATGCAGGAATTCTTTCCAAGTTTGGGGCAGGGTTATTCTTACTGGTCCAAGTCATAATATTGCTAGATGCCACACATTCATGGAATGATTCATGGGTTGCTAAAGACGAGCAAAAGTGGTAGGTTCAAAGTTATTCTTTTTACGCTCGACCTAGTTCTTAATTGCTAAGTAATCTCATCTCTCTTGTTCTCAGGTATGTTGCTTTGCTGGTTATATCAGTAGTGTGTTATCTTGCAGCGTTTACATTTTCGGGAATTTTATTCATTTGGTTCAACCCTTCCGGTCACGACTGTGGTCTTAATGTCTTTTTCATCGTGATGACCCTTATTCTTGCCTTTGCTTTCGCCGTTATTGCTTTGCACCCTAAGGTAAGAAATTATCTTTTCAACCGATAAGGTTGTAGTCTTAAATTTATTAAAGCCGTAAATCGCCTCATGTGATTTGGAATTGGGAATTCAGAATTAGAATTCTTGGAAGGTAAAATGAAATTTTATGAAAAATATTCTAATTTCACTTTTTAAGCCCCATATACTACAAAGTGGCAGCTATAGAGCATGCTTGGTTAGGCTTAGAAATCTTACTAAGTAGGCTTAAAGAAATATTTTTTTATTGATCAAAATTGGACACATGTGAGTTGGTTATTTGGGTAGTAAGCCAAAAGTTGACTCCAAAATAGTAACTTTTCTAAGTAAATGGTTTTTTTAAAAAGTAGCTGACACAAACATGCTTGGAAATGAAAAGTTGCTTAAAATTTACTATTACTTATTTTTAAGCTTAGCCGAACATTCTGTAAGTTCATTTCACCACACAATTTAAATTGTTTAAATAAGAAAATTGATTTTGTGAAATTCTTGTTGCGTTTTAATAAGTGAAAACAGGGTTTATTATTTTTTACTCGGAATATAAGATCCTTTGGCTTTTCAACAGGTAAACGGCAGCCTCTTGCCTGCTTCTGTGGTATCTGTTTATTGTGCTTATCTTTGTTATACTGGTCTCTCGAGTGAGCCTCGAGGTTATGAGTGCAATGGTCTTCACAAGAAGTCGAAAGCTGTAACCACGAGTACCCTTGTTCTCGGGATGCTTACAACAGTTCTGTCTGTTCTATATTCTGCACTCCGTGCTGGATCATCAACAACATTTTTATCCCCACCGTCTTCACCGCGAGCAGGTATTTTTAAACTGATCCAAAATCTTTCCAATTCTTCTGGATTTTTGTTCTCATTTCTCTAATATTCTCTTGGAATTGAGAGTATATTTCCGGCCTTAATACCAATGTATGTGCCTCGTTTTGGGGATAACATCAACAGCAGTTTGGTATTGTTGATTAGATAGCACTAGACACTATTAAGAAAATTAGTTATAGAGCACGTTTGGCAAAAAGAAGTTGCTATCTTGTAAAATAGGGAACCTCAAAAAATCCACAAAACTGAGGGTCCCCCAGCTTATGTGTCAGATAAGATGGGAATTTCCAACTCATGTGGCTTATAAGCTAGCTTATGAATTTTGGTATATACAATTTGTGGGCACCCAACTTATAAGATAGCAACATTTTTTTTGCAAAAAATACTCATCGTCTATATTTTTCATGGCTAATATTGTACAACAAACATGCCCTACGTGTTTGAACAATATTGCAGCTAGAGTTGTAACCTTAAAAATTTCCGTTGCAGGTGGGACGACACCTCTTCTACAGTCAGACGACCCAGAATCGGGAAAAGAAAAGAAAGGAGCTGAAGCACGACCTGTTACTTACTCGTACACCTTCTTCCACTTGATATTTGCTCTGGCCAGTATGTACTCGGCCATGCTTCTGTCGGGATGGACCAGTAGTTCTGAGAGCTCTGACTACATTGATGTTGGCTGGACGTCAGTTTGGGTTCGCATCTGCACGGAATGGGTCACCGCTGCATTGTATGTTTGGTCGCTTGTGGCACCGTTGATCTTACCCGATCGTGAATTTTATTAAATCATCCTTTCTGATGAAAATGGGGTTCTTGTATGTGTTAAATATCTGTATGCACTCGTAATGTGATGTTAAATCTATACAAGCTAGTGTGAACTTCAGGATTTGGTTGATTAATGTATTGTGCTGTATATAGAGTGGGAAGAGGATTTGATAGTACTAAATAGTATTAATAAATGAAATAAGTAAAAATCTAGTTCATTATACTAGAGTCCTATTTTGTATTCTGTACAAAACATGTACTTTTAATTGCTAAATTATGACATATTAAACACTTGTTTGAGTTACGTTAAAATTTTCATTTTCATTCTTCTACTCATTTTCAACCTCACATTTTTAAATAAAATAATATTTTTCATCACATCAATAATTTTTTCCTTTTTTTTGAATCACACATTTTCCATCAATTTACTATTTCAAAATACATTCTTCCAAAATAATATGACTCAAAAACACTCTAAATCATATCATATTTGAGAATTCATAGCATTTGGACTTCTGCATTCAATTTTGGGAGCATTGTATTTATAAATATCTAATCATGAAATATTGTATGTTTTGAAGAAACATAATTTTAAATTTTTTTAGTGTCGTCATATTGTGACGTTATATACCATTGCTCGATTGAAAATACACTTGAATTTTTTAGCTTTCGGGTTTTTATTTTTTTCCCGTGTTCATCATCTGATATGTAGCATGATCACGTGTACATTATTATAGGATAATAAATATTTAGTAAAATGACGATTATTCTTTTATTACCACATTAATCATTTGATTTTTAAAATAATAATAAAAAGTACTTAAACATAATAAAAAGAAAAAAAATATCGACAAGAATAATATCTAGTAAAATGACTATTATTATGTTATTACCACATTAATAATTTAATTCAAAATAATAAAAAAATAAAAGTACTTAAAAGACAATAAAAAGATTAAAAAAAAATTGAATAAAATCAAAAAGCTGTAAATTGGTAATTAAAAAGAGACAAATTAGTTGGAAGAAGGAGACAAAAAATTATGGGTGAATGATACCTAACGTACGCACCCTCTCCCAGCCCCCCTACGGTTGACTAACATGCGCACCTCCTCCATTTTCCACTTTTCCACCTGCAAAAACAGGACAATCCCACGGAAACCCCTATATCCACCCAACCCAACCCACCCCCTCGCCTTTTCAATAACATGCGCCATCTCCTCCTCACAATGGCCCCTTCTTCTTCCCAGAAAAAACCCACCACCGTAAAACCCAGTTCCGCAACCACAACCAACGTCAACCATAACAATGCAAATTCCCCAAATTGCCCTTCCCTCTGCAGGCACTCCCCTTCCGCCACCCTTGACATCCTTATTTTCATCATTGTTCTCTTTTCTGGGGCCTTTCTTATTATCTCCTACTTTACTTATCTTTGCCAAGCTTTTTCCCTCCTCCTTCCCCCCTTTTCCGCCATTGTTTCAGAGCTTTACTATTATATAATATCTGATGCGCAATCGCAGTACTTCTTTTTCGGCTTATTTTTGCTCTCTTTTGCTATGTTTGTTGTGTTTTTCGAGATCTGTTGTGGGTTCGGATCGAAGAGATGCGGGAAGAATGGGTGTAAAGGATTGAAGAAGGCCATGGAGTTTGACTTGCAGTTACAGGGAGAGGAGCTGTTGCGGTCGGAGAATAAGGCGGTTAAGGATGTCAATGAGTTGCCATGGAAGGGTGATTGTGACGATAATCCGGATTATGAATGCCTGCGTGCCGAGTTGAGGAAGATGGCCCCGCCCAATGGACGTGCAGTCTTGCTTTTCCGTGCGAAGTGTGGGTGCCCGGTTGCCAAACTGGAAGGATGGGGACCTAAGCGTGGTCGGCGCCACAAGAAGTGAGTAGAGCTCTTGTTGAATGTTGTTTTTCATTAAAAATAAATGAATCTTTTCTGGTTCATGGATTTCTGTTACGAGCGAATCTTATCTAAATTATGGATGGATTTGATTATGATGAATTTGAATTTGAATTTGAATGCGGAATTGCACTTTACTTATTTAAGTTCAATGGTGTTATCTTTAGCTAAAATGGTTTTAGTACGATGATATAGGTTCATAACATGATATGTGATTTGATTTTCTACATGATTTATATTCTGCACTGTGGATTATATGAAATTTTCTTTTAGTGATGTTCAAAAGTGTGACCGCATAATGTGCAAATTAGATTGTCAAAAAATTGTAGAGATCTCTCAAGTTTGATAGTTTACCATTAGTATAGTGGTTGATGCTATAGATGCTTTCTTTTTCTGCTTTGATAGTGATTAGAATAGGTTATTTTTGCCTCTTGAGTTGTTTGGCTTTGCTCGGGGTAGAGATAGGAACTGGTATTATGATAAAGTCGTCCATTGTATTCTCAGACCAGTCATTCTCAAAGAAGACAAGGTGGTTGTAACGAACTTTGTCATTTTGAGGCATTGTTATGCACGTCAGAAAGCCCGCAGTAGTTGGACAAGTTAATTATGGATGAGGAGATCATTTTCTTTTAAGTAGTACCGAAGGTTTTTAAGCAATGGAACTGAGTTCTGACTGATGGAAAGGATAAAAGTGGAAAGTTATAAATAATACATATATTGTCTTAATCATAAGTGTGAAAATATTTTCTGGCTGTTAATAACTACGTCACTCCAATAGTACAGTTTTGGAGGAAGACTTGTTGAGAATACATGAGTAATAGTATGGATCAATTTAAAATTAAACTTTAGTTATCTGGTTGACACTATACACAAGTTGTTTTGTATGCCATAGTTGGATTTAATTGTTAGACACATCTGATCACCAACTGAACAAAGATCTGCTGCCATCATCTTGACGAGTTCCAATATCATAAAGCAGGAGATGCTTTGAATCCTGATTACTACAGGGACAGTGAAAGAAATTTGTTGTCGCTTACCAAAATTACAAAGAAAATACAAATAAAGAAATTTCAAAAATTTTATTTGTATTAAGAGTTGGAAGTCTTGCACTATACTGGCCATGTAGGTCTTTCTGCTGATATTACTTACACTTGTTAACCATGTGTCAGGACTTCGAACTATATAACTGGCCATGTAGGTCCTTCTGCTGATATTACTTACACTTCTTAACTGTGTGGCACAACTTGGAACAGCTCTGTGGGGACAGCCAGTGTGTATTTATTTAGTTAGCCTATCTGCGTGCTCTGGTGCAGCACTAAAGCTTAGATTTTGGGTGATATTGATTGGTTGCTTACATTTTAGGGGTACTGTAATTCAAAAGTGGTATATAGGAAAGGTTTGATTGCATAATAAGTATTTCAATGAATGCTCTGTTGAAAATCAATGTTACAAACCTAAAAGGTAAAAGAAGACTTTCGTAGATATTGCGAAATGTTGTATTTTTGTGATTTAACTGCTAACTTATTTACCATTTTTTCCATTTCACTGAAGTATGACAGACCCCTTCTACCTTTTCTTGCCCTCTCCATTATATGGTTTTCTTGTAGGGAATTGCTACCTTTTCTTTTTTAATTATTAAAATTTTTAATAGCATTATTTTTTTTTACCTTTTTCATTGCAAAGAAGAATCACGATGATTTGGAAAATAATGTTTCTTGGACAACCAAATTAAGTTGTACGTTTGTATATAAGCACGGTGGTTTAGTTGTTCTCAAGGATACTTGGGATTTATTTACTAATTATACGTTTTCATGTATTCTGAAAGGGTCAAGATCATTTTTTATTTAATATGTGTAGATTTGCAAGTTGTAAAAAGAAACAGACATTTTTATGCCTAATGAATTTGATATCTTTCTTAATTTCACTTGGCAAGGGAGTGCTTTGATACTCAAGTAATGTTTTTCACTTGGGACCGCTTGTTGAACACCCAAGTGGCCAAGGTCAAAAGTCATTAGCCTGATGTCATAATTTCATTTTATTTTTCAGAATTATAATAATATAGAAAAACAGTGAAAAATAATGGGGAACAGGGGAAGACCAAGTAACACCCACAGAGACCAGCGATATCAAGGGTTACATTTTCATGTCCGAATGCTAGATGCATGCACCCAAGCCAAAAAGGGGGAAAAGTTGAATAAAGTAATAAACAAATAAACTTTAAGCAGCAAGAACCCACATGGAGATGGAATTTACCTTCAAACTCAAAATCATAAACAGTTACACACCTCTTAAGTCTTAATTCTCAAGTCCAGCTTGCAGAAACACATAACGAAAATAGCACCTCCGATACCTTTAAAGAACCTTTTTGAAGTAGTGAATCTCTTCACGTTCCTATTGATCCACAATTTGATCTTCAATTTCTCAAAGACCCTCTTCTGTTTCTACCAAATTTCGAGCCCTAAACAGTTGAAGGCAGATGAGTTGAGTAGTTCATCATCACTTTCTAATCAGCCACATTCTTCGGGCTTATAACTATGTTTTTGTCGCCAAATGGGTGTCCTATGTGGATGTCAAATAAGAAGGGAGGTTACGAGGAAAGGAAGGAAAAAAAATGAGGAGAGGATTGCTGTCGACTGCATATCTAGTTTGGATTTTAGATGGGTGTGGGGGACAAAGAAGGGTGATATCAGGAAACATACAGTGAAAAAGGGAATGGAAAGATGGGAGAAAAAAATCAAACCGGTGTTTTTTCTGATTCACTATGTCAATTGCATGTTTTTTTTAAAATTTTTTACGGTTTCATGAAGCTAACTGGACAAGATGGATGTCAGGTTCCCTGTTGAACCGGCAAATGATTTCTAGTTTTCTACCTTTAGTAACATTTAGCCAAGAGATGCATTTGGATTGAGAGCTACATACATTTAGATATCCTTTGTAAGTTCCTGGCATCTAGTTATTTAGCAAGCCTGCAGTATCATTCTTTTTTCCTTTTTCAATGGTTATAACTTGAAATTTGTTTGCATTGTCGGCATTGAGGCCTTCTGTAGAAAACCGTGTATATGGAAATGGGTATCTAAACCTAACAACCTATGGCCGAAATTCCCTTCAACAGTTCAG